TTGTCTTTTTGACACTAGTCATTCTGGCAGGTGTGAGGTGATAGCTCATTGTGGTTTTGATTTGCACCTCCCTGATGATTAGTTCTTTCCTCTCTTTTGGCTTCTTCTTTTATTAATGCTTATCAGGGGATTATACTTAGATATCTTAAACATTTTTATTATTTATAGGAAACAAGAATTCTCCTTGTCTTCATTTTATTTCTCATTCTTTTTTGTAATATGCTAATCTTATCTAGCTTTGGCTTTTAGTTAGATGTTTCCTCAGAGGTGTAGTTTTCTTTTACGATGCTAAATTCCTCTTTCCTAACACTCATTATCATCCTGGTTTTTAAAGCCTTTGAGACAAAGTTTAATTTTGATATAAAATGCTATTTTTCCCAAATATGATGGTGTTTTTGTAAAGGCAACAATAGGGATGGAAGAGGCTCTGGGCTGGGTATATACATGTGTTTCTCCATGTATACAAACTTCTGTGTTCATGTTTATGTGCCTATATGTGCTTGTGTTTTAGAGCTGCCTGCCCATAGAAAATTAGTCTTGATATAGAACACCAGTCATAGGAATGAGCTGCATAAATGAGAAAAAATAAAATGCATAAAATGGCATAGAATAAATAAGGAAAATGGGTAATAGGTAATAGAAGTAAATAAACTTTCAGATTTTTTTCCTACTCATAGAAGAACATTACAAAAACCTATCCCCCATCCCTAGATATAACTACTAATAATATTTATCATGTTTCCTTTAAGGAATTTTATATTCATATACCTGTACATGTCAATTATATATGACCTCCTTTCCATTGGCCTAACATGGAACAATAAGATTCATGTATTTTGCTGTAAATAATATTGTAAAGAAAATTTTTGTGCATGAATTCTCTGTTTGGAATGTTTTCTCAGAATCAATCCTAAAAATTGTAATTACCAGGTCAGAAGGCAAAAGTGTATACAGGATTTTATCTTCCTGAAGGGCTGTTTATTTTATTTTATTTTTTTAATGTTTATTTATTTTTGAGAGAGAGAGAGAGAGACAGAGCATGAGCAGGGGAGGGGCAGAGAGAGAGAGAGAGAGAGAGAGAGAGGGAGACACAAAATCTAAAACAGGCTCCAGGCTCTAAGCTGTCAGCACAGAGCCCGACGTGGGGCTCAAACCCACGAACCATGAGATCATGACCTGAGTCCAACTTGGACACCCAACCAACTAAGCCACCCAGGTGCCCCCCTGAAGGGGTGTTTAAATCTCTACTCCCACCAGATATTAAGAAACATGTTCTTAATTAGAATTTCTTTGATTACATGAACATTATTCATATGCTAATTAGTCATTCAAACTTCTTCATTGGTACTTTTATATTTGTGCTCTTTTTATATGGAAGTCTTATGATTTTAATGACTATCTGTATGGCCTCTTTAATTACCAAGAATATTAACATGTTGTAGCTTTTGCTACAAGTATTTGCTGCAAATATTTCCCCCAGCTTATTGCTATATTTGTTTTTTAAATTTATGAATGTTTGATATTCATATTTTCAAACTTTATCTCCTGAAATCCTTTTAATAATTATATTCAGAATTTATGCCATCTTTTTTAAGTTCCAAAGCCCTCCTTTTCCAGTGATCAAAAAGATATTAGTCTATTTTCTTCTATATGGCTTGAGTTTTTACATGCTGAAGCATAGTGGTAAAAAGGCAGACCACTTATATTTGATTACTGCCTCCAACATTTGGTAGCCAAATGGACTTCGTTAACCTCTTTCAACCTCAGACTCCTCACCTATAAAATGAGGATAATTACAGTACTATCACAAGGTGGTGTTGTAAGGATTAAGTAAACTAATTTCTGTATTTTTAGCAGGGCCCAGTACATACTAGTACTCAACAAGTGGTAATTATTATAAATATTATTATTGACATACAATACAAGATAAGACTTTAACATGCTTTTTCCCTCAGATGACTAAATAGCACTGTTTATTGGTGATCTTTCCTTTCTCCATTACAAAAGTGATTTCGGCCTGTATTATGTTCTCATACACTGTAACACCTGTTTCTGGCTTTCCCATTTATTTCTCAGTATATTTATATGCACGTGCCACACTGCTTTAAATACTGTAGCTTTATAACATTTAACGCTATTATATAGGAAGAGTATGTACGTAGGAAACATAATTGTTTTTTAAACTATCATGATTATTTTCTTATATCTTTTCCCCATGTGGATTTTAGAGTTATATTATAATTAAAAATTTAATTGAATATTGTAATAAGACTATATAGCTATATCTCTAAATATACAACTTGACAAATACAAGAAAAATCTTACATTAGTCATGTCACATATACAATTTAAATGCTTTAATTTTTAGATAGTACGACACTTTGGATATAAGAGGAAAATGATGTTAGTGGAATGCTAGGGTAGGAGCAGCAGAGTGAGAATTCATTAGTGAATAAAATCAAGATTATAAATGCTTACTCAACTTTTTAGGAGATGGCCACAAGTAACACAGTCTATTATTTAGTCAGGTGGAAGTGATACAGTGGCCACCTGCACCGTGTAAATGTTTTAATACTGCAGCCCTTAATGTCTGATATGATGCAGAAGAAAACTACATAGACCTCAGGTTTTCTTAGAAATTACTGAGAATCCTACTAATAAGGGAGAAGTGATCTCTGATCTTTGTGTTTACCATTGCTGTAGCAGCATTTTTGTCAAACACATCACTATGTTTTAAACTACTAAAAGAATTTTTGTGTTTTAATTTCAGCATTACATTTTTTTGCAAGACATTTATATTTATTTATTTATTTATTTAATTTTAATATTTATTTATTTTAGACAGACAGAGCACAAGCAGGGGAGGGTCAGAGAGAGAGAGAGAGGGAGACACAGAATC